ACCTACCCCAGCCTGCGCACCAGCACGTTGCCTGCCCCGCCTGCACGCTTGCATGCAGCTTGTCGCCACCCTCCTCCCCCCCCCCATGCGCACCTCCTGACGCCCCCATGCGCCGCGAACGCCTCTTGACACGCCCATGCGCCTTTAACACCGCTATGCACAGCCTGCATGTGCATGCATAGCAGCAACGGCCCGCATGTTCATGCGTGGCAACACAAATTCCCCGTAGCCCTCATGCAGGACCAAGTTGAGGGTCTCAGGGCCAAGGGCCTCTGTGCAGACTACCTGGCCTCTACCCGCAAGGAGGCCGACCGCAGGGCGATCCTGCAGCAGCTGGATGCCATCGCTGGCGGCGTTCTCCCTGCAGGGGGCAGCCAGCAGCAGCAGCAGCAGCAGCAGCAGCAGCAGCAGCAGCAGCAGCAGCAGCAGCAGCTGGGAGAGGATCAGCAGCGGCTGGCACTGCTATACGTGACCCCTGAGCTGCTGCAGACAGCGGCGTTCTCCGTGCGGCTGCGCAAGCTGCACGCCGCAGGCGGGGCCGAGCGGCGCACGATCAAGCTGGTGGCCGTGGACGAGGCGCACTGCATCTCTCAGTATGTGCGTTGGTAGAAACAGGGCCATGGGATAGCAGGTCCTGCGAGCTGCCTGCAGGAGAACCGTGTCAGAGAGAAGCGCTCACCGTTTATCAGGAGCTGTGGTGACCTCACAGCTGCATGCACGGCAGCACCACGGCCTCAGCCGCAGCACCACGTGCCTGGCGCCGCCCCACTGTCAAACGCAGGGCCACGATTTCCGGCCCTCCTACCGCCGCCTGGGCCGGCTGCGCAGCCTGCTGCCCGGCGTTCCCGTCATGGCCCTTACCGCCACCGCGTCTAAGCAGGTGCGACCATGCTTGATATGCGGATCCTTGTTTGCAAAATGGACAGATAAACCTGCGCAGGGAGCCGAACACGGCCATGACTAAAAAGTTCATCCAGCGCTTGCCAACACACCCGCCGCGACCACACGTGCAATCACATGCGACAGGTGCAGGCGGACATCGTAGCTTCCCTGCAGCTGCGCGACGCGCCGATTCTGCAGACGCCGTTCAACCGTCCCAACATTCACTACTCGGTGCTCTTCAAAGACGCGCCCACGGCCACGCTGCGCCCCGGCTGCAGCAGCGCCGGCTGCGACGATGACGATGCCCCGCAGTTTGCGCAGGCCGAGTCGGGGTTTGCGCAGCTGCTGGCTCTCCTGGGCGATGCTCTGCCGCATGTTTTGCATGGACAGCAGC